ATATATATAGTCAGAGGATGTAAAGTACAGCATAGTGAATACAGTCAATGGTATTGGAATAGCTATACATGGTGTCAAAGAGGTAGTAGACTTGGGGGGATTATCACTTTGTGAGGGTTATAAATATCTAATCACTGTGTTCTTTTGTATACTTGAAATTAACAAAAATTAAAAAGAAAAAGATGAGAAAACAGGCAGGCAAAGTGACTTGTATTAGATCATACTCCATACTGGCAGATCTAAACCCAGCACTCCTTCATTTATCATTTGTCATTCTTCCTTAAGTTGGGATTCATCATTCATCCAAATGTGTTTGTTTTGTTTGGCCAGCATTCTAGGAGCTCAGTAAATATTTCTTGAACAAATGAGAGAATGAGTTGAGGCTGATGATGCATCTGGTATTGGCAGTGGGGACACAGAAGTAAAAAATACTGGTCTTTTCCCTAAGAAACTGACAGTCTAACAGGGGAAAGTTGCACACATAGCACAATGGCCCGATATCTGGCCGCCCTCCAGGATAATCAGAGATACTTGGAAAGGCATGTCAAGGTGTGCAGGGAACTACAAGCTGTTTGTGCCACTGGAAATAAGAGTAGAGGGGACTCGATTCTGGTTCCTTAAATGTCACGTGAGAGAGCTTACGAAGAGAGCTCAGGAAGTCTCATTCTGTCAGGAAGAGACTTAAAAGAGAGAAATAAGATGGTAAAACCTGTATTTTAGAAGGATCCCTAGGGTGTTTGTTTGGTGAACTGGCAAATTGACAACTTGGGATTTACACTATGATGCTTAAGAGATCATGGTGGTCTGGCCTATGTTTGCTGTAATAGGGTTAGTGAAGAGGAGAAGTGTTTAAGAAGTATTTGGAAGAAGTCTGGAGCTGGAGGTAAAGATTTGAAAAATCATTAGCTTATCTGTGGTAATGGATACACTAAGAATGAATGAAATCTCAGGAGAGTTTGGAAAGCTGCGGGGGGAAGAGGACTAATATTCAAGGGACAGGAGGAGGGAGAGTTGCCCACAAATGATAATAGGCAGAAATGGTCAAAGATTGCGGGTTTCTCCTAAGTCTAGGAGTAGATATTTGAAGAAGGAAAACGCTCTCTTGTGTGAGGCAGAGAAGACAACAGATGCACGCTACTTTTTTGAGATTTCTAGATGAAAAAGGGGAAAGATATTGAATAGCAGCTAAGGGAGAACCTGGAGGCAAGTGAGGGCTTTGGTTTCTGTCCCAAGCTGGGAGAGACTGTAGCACATTCATAGACTGAAGCCAATAAAAATCAAGAAGTTAAAGACAGAAAGAAACAACACAGGTTCTCTAACTCCCCACCCAATGTCCTTTATTCACATTCTCAGCTACTTGGATCTGAAAGTTTTATGTGTGAGTCCTCCGGGATACATCAGAGGAGTCCTGTTGTCTAATAAATATGTTTTAATTCCCTACCATTGCAGAAACTCTTTCCAAAATCAATGAATTCTCATATAGTGAGATTGCATTACTGAGAACCCAGTCAAGGAAGGGAGTGTCATCTGCAGTACATGTCACGGGCACACAGTAAATGTCTGTGAACAAACATGCTGATGCAGGCCACCTCGGAACTCATGGCCCAACTCCTGAGTCTTTCTAAAGCCATTGTCTTATTCTACCCATATTACAGTT